GATTAAATTGGGAAATTGAATAATCTATTAAGAGTAAACACACAAAAAAATTAAAATATTTTTACATGGCAAATTGCTTGCCTTTATAGAGAGCATAATAGTTATAGTATTGTTATCATATACATATATATACACGTGCACACATTAAGGTAAGGAGTGACTTGTATAAAACAAAGAATCCATTAAATGGTCACAAAAGCAAATAAATGACAATTATAGAGAAAATTATTTTGGTTTGAACTCAAATAACCTTGTGTGGAGGCTTTTGATTAAATAAGACAGCTCAGTTGGGTTGGGAGAGAAGAGATCATCTTGTATGCATATGTGGCACGTACATCTCTCATTTAGAAATCGACATATGAATTAAAAAAATATTTTGTTCTGTCCTCTTCATTGGTTGGTCGCACCAAATGCAGGGACGGTGCAACAAATGTACAACAGATATTTCGAGGAGAGAGAGTCCTTCTTTTTATTCTCCCACGTAAATGGTACAGCCATAAGCATACGTCAAATGGGTTTTTTAAACCACCCACCCTCGATCATAACGCAAAGTCGGATGTAACCTCTTTTACATAAAGGCATAGAATTTTATCAAATAAAGATTAGGTTTTCAACTTCTCATTAGAGTTTATACAAAATCAGAAGGACAAATATATCCTGGCCACATTACAAAATAATTCAGATAGTAAATAGCACAATATCCATTTTGTGGCTATTATACGAACCACTTACGGATGTAGGAAACCAAGAGACAACTTGGGTACAAAAGGAAAAATATACATATAAAAGTATAACAATCTTTTGAGTCATTCGTAACAAGAACAGTTTGCTGACGTGAACAGTAAGAGCGGTTCCCAACATGAATATAACCATTACCCTTCAAGAATGATACGAATCAAATTAATTGCACTTGAGTGTCTAAATGGGCCGGGTAAATTAGGTTTTGATTTAAACAGGTTAGGTTTTGATTTAAATAGATTAGGCTTGTGTAAAATATTTTGAGTCTTGTTTGGTCTATTAGTTTTGTGTAGGCTCTGGCCTAGCATATATTTAAAAAATAAAAGTCTTGACCTAGGCATGTTATACTATTTAATCCTATTAGATATTCAATTATTAAAAAATAAATAAAAAAATAGAGTTAGTGTTTATCCTTTTAAATGACATAGAATTGTGTCATTTTAGTCAAAACTATTGTGTTTTATGGAGAGAGAACTAGAAATCATGGTGGGAAAAAATGAGAATTTTTTAATTTAAATTTTATGTAAAAAATACAAATTTTAACTAAAATGAATGTTGTTTAAAAGGATAAATATTTTTTCCTAAAATAATATTACTTTATTATTTAAAATTAATTTTATTTATTTTATTTAAAATTAATAATATGATATAGACCGGCCTATAGATTTAGGTCTGGCTTTCTAAATATGTTTTTTTTAAAATCTAAGAGTATTTTATTTAACTATATATAATAGGCCGAGTTTGAAATGATGTAAGCTGGATCATAGATCCATGTTAAGGTGTCTGACTCATTTACACCACTGATTATCTATATGTTCCACTACATTAATGTTGTCATCGTTCCAATTCCAAGCATTTATCCAATCTCATTTCTCAATTATTCCCTATTTTAGCAATGGCAAGCAGCTCTCTCAGTTTTACATTGGTGACCAGAGGCGGATCCACTTAGGGGAGAAGGGGGGCAAGTGCCCACCCTTAAATATGATGTAGAAATAAAAATATTTTTTTCTTAAAATTTAAGTTTTTCCAATTTAATTTTGGGGTAGGATATTATAACAATCAATTAGGTTACTACAAATGTTACTACCAATCAATTTTCAATTTTACCGTTAGAACGATTATGCTGATCCAACGGTTATATTTATTTTCATCTTTGTATGGTTATGATTCCCATATTTAATACTTTATATTTATTTTCACCTTTGTATGGTTATGATTTTCTATATTTAATGCTTTTACATTAAATATGGGGATCATAACCCTATAAAGATGAAAATAAATATAACCGTTGGATCAACTAATCGATGTAACGGTGAAATTGATTGGTAGTAACCCTAGTTAGTTGTTACAATATCCTACACCTTTAATTTCCCTCCTTCTAATTTATTTTCATGTGAGTTTTTTTTCTCCTCCACCTTCATTATCCAAACCTAATCTAGATCTAGATCTAAACCAGATCGAGCCAGCCGGCAGCTGCTCGTAAATCACGTTCAAGACCAGACCTTATTGGGTGCCCACCCTTTGTTATTTTTCTGAATCCGCCACTGTTGGTAACCATTTTCATCTATGCCATGGCTCTCTCTCCCACTTTACCATGTGATGCTGCACGCATTCCATTACCAGGTATACACATAAACGTTGCAATTAGATATGATAAATTGAAACTTTCAAAGTAACATGGCCTCATGGTTTTGGATGATAATGAACTCATGAACTCCATTTTGTTATGCAGTTAAGGTCCCCATACGTCCTCAGTGTGTGTTGCTCTGCTCCAACCCCAGGCTCTTGCTGCAAGTGTTGTACTAATTCTCCAGTTCTATATAAGACCATAGTTATTATATTTATACCTATTATGTTATGTTTGAATAAGAGGACTCTAGTCTTCTACTGAAGCACTTGACAATTCTCGAAATGAAAATGTCAAGGAATTCCTCATTTTGAATTTTAATGTTCTATTGAATGTTTCTTTCACCTAGATAAGACGGTGGATTTATTTGAAGTTTTTTTTTTTTTTAATTAGCTCAAATTTCATGTACTCGTGCATGTTCGTACGCAAGAATCACTATTCTTGCTACCATTTGTATTGCGTTTCATTTTACATCACTTTCTTCAGTTCTTGTATAAGAGTTTGGGTCTTACAAGGTATACATTGGTGCATATACCCCGCAAAAATTGGAATAATACAAATATTTGCACATGTCATGATCGCTAAGGGTGGTAATCGTTTTCTTTGCCATCAAATTGGATACAAGCTTTTCACTACAATGGGCTTGCACAAAGACCAATCAATGACATTGAGACTATATTCTTATGAATATGCATTTGACAAGCCCATGGCAGATAGGACCCTTGGCAATTCGGAAGGTAGATTAAAAAACTGAGCCTAATCACTGGTTAGTATCCCAAAATTTGGACAAAAAGATAAAATTAAATAAGGGGTAATCAACTCTCACGTTGCAAAGAAGTCTTTATCTCCCGCGGCTGAGATAAAAAATGAGCCCCATATTTAATTTTTCCGCGGCTGAGATAAAAAATGAGCCCCATATTTAATTTTTTTTAAAATATATATTTTTTCAGTCACTAAAAATAAAATTATCTCCTATGAACTTAAAATGACATTTGTAAGATTAAAAAATTATAACAATAAAGATTAATATAACCCTGAAATAAATTAAAATTCCAAAAATATATTTTTCTGAACCTTAAAATAATGTCGTTTTGGACTCATCTTCATTTATTAAAGATATATTTTTCCCTTAAAAAATGAGATAAAAAATGGCACTGATTTTTATATATCTATTGTAAGAACAAAAACTCTCCTGCAACAAAAGATTCGATTACCCAATTAAACTTAAAAGTTCACCCCTTCTCAGCTGAGATTAAAATCAATCAGAACTTTCAAATGGTACAAAAATAATTTAGCTGTTCCGAAAAGGATTATTGTAAATTTGTCATCACTTCTTGTTGAATAGAATTGACTTTGCATCAATGTTGAAGGGCTCAATGGCAAGAATGATATTTCCTCCTTCTTCTTCTTCGTCCTTTTTTTTTTTTTGGGAATTAGGCAAATGGATTTTTATGATTATCTACTTTTCTAGTGCCATAAATTTGATTGGGTCATTGGCCCCAAAACTTGGCAAGGATGCCTCGCAATTGCAGTTGTTGACAATCTCTAGTCTCCATTCTTTACTATAAACTCAAGTTGCTAACATTCTCTCCCTTTCTTGGCCATACCATCCAATGACAATTTCACATCGCATTCAATTGATTAAAAGCTGAAAACTACTACCACGTACAACCAAGTCGGTAGGTTAAACAATTAGCTACATTTACTGAAACTATCAAATTACTCAATCTCATTGATTTCATGCACTTTCACTCCTATCAAAAACTAAGGTTAAAAATAAACTAGGAACCTCAGGCACTAATTAAGGGTGAATAGTCACCAATACACAAGGCATCTCGTAAAATCACGTATTATTGGTGACTATATAGAGTTTTACCGGGATTTTTTTTTTGGGAAATCTTTTTCTTAGGTCGACGTAGATAAGTTACCTTATAATAGTGAAACAAAATAATAAGAGAGACCCACAAATGATTAGAGAAAAAAAAAATAAAAGTGGATCCACCTTTATTATGTGTGTATAGGAAAATGGATTATCTCATATTGAATAAGATAAATATAACTTTTTTTTTGTTATGCTTATTGATTTTAATCTTCCAATACAATGCACTTTAAACATCGGGCGTCTGGTAGAGAAGAAATTTTTTTTTATCCGGGAATCTCAATTTTCAAAAATATGATTTTCACATTCAATTAATGATAATATCTGAAAATTAAAAATTTAGAAAAATTCAGTTTCTCGGGAATCTCCAAGAATCCCGCTTACCAAACGGGTCCAAATTCTTGAAATTCTTTGAGGACAAAAGGGAAACCGCCTCTTCATCGAAAGGGGGATTAGTCTAATCTTTCCTTTGGTGACGTAGGTCTAATGCACCCTCTATTTCAATTAGGAGTAATTGTTCTTTGATAACAAGGTGACTTGTACGGGGATACCTACAGGTTTTTTTTTTAAAAAAAAAAAATCAATAGTGTCATAAGACACGTCCCATAAGTATAAATTTCTCAACCACTCCATACTGCTCTACAATAAATCCCTTGGCTTTTTCTTCTTATCACAAAACATATACAGGGTTTGATAATATATTCTTGTAACAACTAGTTAATTCTTCCTAAGATTGCATGGCTGGTAAATGGAGATTCCATTTGGCTTGGAGCTCCATGTTTTGGTTTGTCCTTGCATCAGTGTATGCCATTGCAGAATTTAATGGAAAGTCCATAGTTATGGCCACAGAGAAGAACTCTATGCATCACAAACAAGGCAGAAGAAAACTAGATGATGTAGCTGGTGAGTATTTTCTCTTCCTGCTCTGAGCTTGCATCAAATTGTCTGATAATTTAGATTTACTTAAAAAGAAAAAGGTTATTAAAGAAAAGTTCTCTAGTCTTTACTGTTATATCCACAAATTCTTCTGATTCCTGATTGTGTTAATAATTCTAGGCTCCATTTGCATTGACTGTGGGCTATCTGGAGATCTTAAGTATACTGATGACGAAACTCGGATAGATTACACTTCAGATACAGGGTTCATTGACACTGGAACAAACAAAAACATATCTGTCAAGTTCATTCCTGAAATTGCTCAAAGAACCTTCAAAACTGTGAGAAGCTTTCCTCAGGGTAAAAGGAATTGCTACACACTAAGACATCCAGAAGGCAAAGATACTATTTACTTGATCAGAGCAACTTTCATGTATGGGAACTATGATGAGTTGAATCAGCTGCCACAATTTGATCTTTATATTGGGGTTAATTTATGGGATTCTGTGAGGTTTGACAATTCCACTCATGTGGTAATCAAGGAGATTTTACACGTTCCATCGATGGATAATTTATATGTTTGTTTATTGAATACTGATTTGGGAACTCCTTTTATATCAGCACTGGAGGTGAGGCATTTTGATTATTCCATTTATAGAACCAAGTCTGGACCCTTAGCTTTATATAGACGTTTCGATATTGGCTCAACAACTGATGAAATAGTGAGGTGAGTTACTTATAAGCAAAGTCTCTATATACATAATTTGGATTCAAGTTCTGTTTGTCTAGATAAGAATTAATTTATTTATTTTTTTAGTACAATAGATAAGAATTAAATTTAACTTACTTTGATTTGGTTTTTATGTTATTTGATAACATATAGGTTTGACAAAGATTATTATGATCGAATGTGGTTTCCTTACAACTTACCTGATTGTACACCACTCAATACTTCCTTCACCATTGACTCCTTGAACCATACTAAATATCACCTGCCATCAACAGCAATGAGAACTGCTGTGAGGCCTAAAAATGATAATGATTCACTCGAATTTGAATTTGACACCGGATATCCTACTTCAGAGTCCTATGTTTACATGCACTTTGCTGAAATCGAAGATCTTCAGGAAAATGAAAAGAGGGAATTCGACATTACATTGAATGGAAAATTATGGGCTGAGTCTGTAACTCCTATGTATTTGCACTCAACTACAATAGATAGTGAACAGTCCATTAGGGGAAATAAGCTTATGTTCTCTATGCATAAGAAACCATATTCCACCCATCCTCCCATTCTCAATGCAATGGAGATTTACATTGTTAAAGATTTCTTGCAGGCACCTACAGACCAAGAAGATGGTTAGTTGTTTCTTACCAGCTCCTTCTGTTTTTTGTTGTTTAAAGTTAGAGCATAACTGTTAGAAATGTATTAACAGTACAAAATCATAAAAAATGTAATAAAAATCTGACATCTTTCACATTTTTTTCCCAATAGCTAGAAGTTTTAGTATAGTTGGCATATAGCAAAGTATGAGATCTTTGACAAATTGATCTAGATTTCGATCATGTCTTCCTCATTCTTCTAATTAAAAAGGTTGGATTAACACACAAGGTGAGTGGATATTGTCCATGCTCCTAGTATGAGCAGCATGTTACTATAAAATATTGGAAAAATTGGTTAATGAAGATAACAGACTTTGGCAACATATGCTTGTGAGAATTGTAGTTAAGGCTATCATGGAGATCAAGTCACACTACATGTCAACGTCTTTGTTGGGTAAATCATGGCAAGGAGATCCTTGTGCACCATTAAAATACTCTTGGAACGGTCTCAACTGCAGCAATAATGGATATGATTCACCCAGAATAACTGCACTGTAAGTTTTATCTTCCAAAATTCAAGAATTGGCATTAAATAAAGGAAGACCAACATATTTGAACTGCATGCAGAAACCTAGCCTCCAGTGCATTGGGTGGCACAATAATTGCCTCATTTTTGGAGCTCAAATTCTTGGAATCCTTGTGAGTATTAAGTTATGTACAGCATGACGAAATTCGAATATTTCAAAAAAAAAATTGGAAAAAGAAAATAGTACATTTCTTCCCTGTCATTATAGTTGACAAGGGATCCCTTAAGCAACAATTATTAATAAGCAATAATTAATTAAGCTAGAACAATGCATTGTTTTTCAGGGATTTATCAAACAATAGCTTAACGGGTCCAATGCCTGATTTTTCACAACTGCAATACTTGAAGGCTCTGTAAGTTGCAGTGATTTCAATATCTGATATGTCTCATTGGAAATCAAATAAGCCATATGACATGTGCTGTCTTAGCAGCAATTTATCAGGGAACAAGCTTTCAGGTGAAATTCCTTCACTTCTCAAGGAAAGATCAAATAATGGTTCACTTTTATTGAGGTTTGTTTTCATTTAAAATCATGATGTTTGGTTAGTCACTGGCCTAAGCTAGCTGTGAACCTTAGTAACTTTCAAAAAAAAAAAAAAAAAAATTCCTTCTTAAAAACTTTGATATGACTGTAGTGTGGATGGATATCCGGATCTCTGCCTGATGGCCCCATGCCAAGAGGACAAAAAGAATATTGTCCCACTTGTTGCAGTCATTCTTTCATCAGTGGTCTTTTTAATTGTGCTGGGTACTGCACTGACTATCATTTGGAGATGGAGATGCAACAGAAAACCAGGTCTCAGAATAGATATATTTGTTTTACCTTCGGGCTAAATTAAGGGTGTCATAGTTATTGATTTCAAATTGCATTATACTCCTCCTATGTATAAGCCCAAACTAACATTTTGCAATCCAAAATGACTAGGAAAATTTTAATTAATAAAAATGTAAAGGTAACATATATTTAAATTACAATATATAATAGACATGAGGTTTACGATAATCATGAACTTTGATTACTTTGTTTAGCATCAAAGCAAGCTGTGAGATCAAGCGAAGAAATTGTACTGAAGTCAAATAATAAACAGTTCACGTACTCTCAGATAGTAGCTATTACCAATGACTTTGAGAAAATGATTGGGAAGGGAGGATGTGGAATTGTTTATCACGGTTCCTTAAATAATGGCACACAAGTTGCTGTCAAAATGGTGTTGCCAAAATCACCACAAGGTTCTCAGCAGTTTCAGACTGAGGCATGTTTCTTTCCATAGGAGTATAAATGGCATATTTTGAGTTTAAAGAACTGTTCTTGCTAAAATACATTCCGTGTATTTGCAGGCTGAACTCTTAATGCGAGTTCATCATAAAAACTTAGCTTCCTTTCTTGGATATTGTAATGACGTTGGACACTCTGCCATCATCTATGAATACATGGCTTATGGGAACATAGAGGAGTATCTATCAGGTATATTCATTTGTAATTCGATTCATTTCATGCTTGCACAGTTACTTGATTAAGGACTGAATTCAAGTAAACTTAGATGCAAAGAGAGAACCATTGAGTTGGAGACACAGGATTCAAATAGCAGTTGATGCTGCTCAAGGTTAGCATAACACTTGACTACGTTACTTGGTCCATTCCTCACATTACTGTGACAAAAGGATACTGATATTGGAACCTATATGTTTAGGACTCGAATACTTGCATCATGGCTGCAAGCCTCCTATAATCCATAGAGACATTAAGACTGCAAACATTTTACTGAACGAGAAAATGCAGGCAAAAGTAGCTGATTTTGGTTTCTCAAAACTTTTCCCAACTGAAAATGAAAGTCATATATTAACTGCTGTTGTTGGCACATTTGGATATCTTGATCCAGAGTAAGTTTTGTCATACAAACATGGTACTAGACACATAGAACTAAAGAAGGATTTAAGTTGAACATCTCTTTTTCTACCTATTTAGGCTTATTAAAGTCATGATTCAGATGAGTTTCCTTTTACAGATACTACACATCCAGCAGGCTGACTGAGAAAAGCGATGTTTATAGTTTTGGCATTGTTCTTTTGGAGCTTATTACTGGGCAGCAAGCCATAATAAAAGGTCGTGAGAACACTCACATTGTGAAATGGGTTAGCCACTTTCTTGCAAGAGGAGATATACAACAAATTGTTGATCCAAGGATGCAGGGAGATTTTGATTTTGGCTCTATGTGGAAGGCTGCGGAGGCAGCAATAGCTTGTGTGCCTTCAATTTCCATCCAAAGGCCATCAATGAGTTACATTGTCACGGAACTGAAAGAGTGCTTAGAAATGGAAGCAGCTCGAGAACAAGAGGGCACCAATGAGCAAATTTCGAAATCAAACTCGTTTGAAATGAGTGTTGTTGATCTTGAAGCTGATTATGGCCCGGGTGCAAGATGATGATCAAGAATGAGCTTTCCAGTTTTATTTTTTTTATTTCTGTTATATTCAATATAAAGTAAAAGGTATACTGCTTATGTAGAAAGAGAGACAATATTTATCTAGTGTACAAAAGAGGTAAAACTCTTTTAAAGACATGATTATATGATAATAAATATGTTTTATATTGATTGTGGATCAAAAGAGGCCAACTCATTGCCAGTACTTTCAATGCAACAACCGAGTTAACAACTGTGCATGCAGCTCTCTCGTGACTAAGACCTTTCAATGCAACAACCGAGTTAACAACTGTGCATGCAGCTCTCTCGTGACTAAGATTACTATTCTATCTCTGAAGCAGAAAATTTCAACAACTTTCCTCCGCCATATAAATGAAAGAAATAATGTGGACACGAGAGTGTGTGATTAGATAGCAAAATCACATGTTAAGCAAAAGTGAATGGTCTCAGTAAAGTATCAAAGGATGGTCTACAGATGTAACTACTCTACACGTTCTCATTTAATAGCTATGCCCAACTTTAATCCTCCTTCATCAATAGGGGTGGTGAGGGAGGGGTCATTTCAATTGCCATATTATTTCTTGCTTATAACATACAGCAGATAGCCTCCTGAAAATTATTTTTAGCTAGAGAAAGATGAACATCAATAGCAGAGAAGTACTTTTTCTTTTTGCATTTATCTTCCTGGCTAGGGGTAATGCACAAGATACCCTTGTGCCGGCAATCATAACATTTGGTGACTCTGCCGTGGATGTAGGGAATAATGACTATCTTCCCACTCTTTTCAAGGCTAATTACCCTCCTTATGGAAGGGACTTTGTCAGCCATAAATCCACTGGAAGATTTTGCAATGGAAAATTAGCTACTGATCTTACTGGTGAGGAAACAACATCAAACTCGGAACTTACATAGCTTGGATAGTAATGCTACACATATATTCACATATACAATTTTTGTCCTTGTTAAAATGTTTTCTTTTGCAGCTGAAACACTAGGTTTTAAGCGATATGCACCTGCATATCTTAGCCCTCAGGCATCAGGGAAGAACCTCCTTATTGGAGCAAACTTTGCTTCAGCTGCCTCTGGTTATGATGAAAAGGCTGCTATTTTGAATGTAAGTTTGGAATGAACAGTATACACACACACAGCCCTTAGAAAATTCATGTTTTTTTACTTTCTTTTTTGGCAGCATGCGATTCCATTGTCCCAACAGTTAAATTACTACAAGGAATACAAAAGCAAGCTGGCCAAGGTAGCTGGCAGTAAAAAAGCAGCATCAATCATTAAGGATGCATTGTACATATTGAGTGCTGGCAGTAGTGACTTTGTGCAAAACTATTATGTCAATCCTTTGATCAACAAAGCCTTCACTCCTGATCAGTACTCTGCATACCTTGTGGCTGCATTCTCAAGCTTTGTTAAGGTAATTTGTTTTTGTCACTGTGCAAACTCGGGCTAAGAAATGGAAAAATAAGGCATAAGCATCATGAAGTGATCAATATTAGAATACCATAAGTATAACCATACAAATAAAACCAATTAAAGGTGCATTGTTTTGAACGCAGGACTTGTATAGAATGGGAGCCAGGAAAGTTGGAGTGACTTCACTCCCACCATTGGGTTGCCTACCTGCTGCAAGAACTTTATTTGGTTTCCATGAGAATGGTTGTGTCTCAAGAATCAACAGTGATGCCCAAGGATTTAATAAGAAAATCAACTCAGCTGCAACAAATCTCAAAAAACAACTTCCTGGTCTCAAGATTGTTGTCTTTGATATTTTCAAACCCGTCTATGACCTTGTTCAATCCCCTTCAAAATTTGGTAAGCAATGCTAAGAATACGATTCAACATGTGGCATTTATCTCTTGCATGCTGGTTAAGTATGGTATTCATTCTTCTAACCTGTCTTGTGATCATATTCAATAGGTTTTGTAGAGGCAAGGAAAGGCTGCTGTGGTACTGGGGCAGTGGAGACAACATCCTTATTGTGCAATCCAGAATCACTAGGAACTTGTTCTAATGCAACCAAGTATGTGTTTTGGGATAGCGTCCATCCTTCACAAGCTGCTAACCAAGTTCTAGCCGATGCATTGATTGTACAAGGCATATCCCTTATAGGTTAAGGACTCTTAGACTATATATATATATATATATATATATATATATATATATATATATATATATATACAGGGTAAGGATCATTTTACACCAGTGTAAGTTACACTCTTAATCTTGTTCGTTGATCTCATTTATATTTAAGGCTCAAATTTTTTAGTAATGTGAGTCATTGGATACAAGTGGATCAATGATCAAGATTGAGTGTAAGACTTCTAACTCTTACACCGGTGTAAGAATATCCTGCCCCATATATATATATATATATATATATATATATATATATATATATATATATATATATATATACTATGAAGCACCGATACGCATTTTCGATACGTTCTCGATGATACAGGATGTCAATTACCAAAGGATACGTGTCCGATACGTATATCCGATACGTTCAAAAAAAAAATTAAGAAGTATCGGTGCTTCATAGTGTATATATATATACACATCTGTGACACGTTATATAGTTGTATTCCACTAATGATGCAAGTCATGCAAAAGTTTGTTGTTTCTCTTCAGTCTGAAAAAACCTGTATTGTTGTTGTTAAATCTTGTGAAATTTCGTATTAACTCATTTAGAAGTAAACTGGTTATATTTGGAAGGCAATTCTGCATTTCTGTTTAAAAGACACACAGTTGTAGTGATTTATGGGATCTGCCTTTTCAATTGAAATTTGTTTTCTTTTATATCTCAACTTCGTTAATGAAAACCATTTTCCCACAGTGAAATTAACCAATATCTACATTTCTCTTAGTTAGCTCCAAACATGATCGACAATAAACACTCAAATGAGATTTTGAATTTTTTATAACAACGATATAGATACAAAATAATTAATTAAGAAAAATCATATTCTCATGTATATTACATGAGATTGTTATCTGTACGACACTTACATAAAAAAACGTTGTACGACACTTACATAAAAAAACGTGCCTCTTTTTTTTTTCAAAAAATAAAATAAAATTAGTGGACCTCCCTTTGTTTGTCTCTCAAACATGAGAGAGCTTCTTTCCTATTACATTAGAGAAATAATCCCCATTAATTAAAGAGGTGTATTGGATTGAGATTTTAAAGAATTTTAATGGATTATTTTTGGACAAAAACAATCTGTTGGTATTCAATTAAGATTTTAAAGATTGAACAAAAGTTATGTGGTATTCGATTAGGATTTTGAAAGAATTCGTCAGCATTTTAAACAAAGAAAAAACAATTATTCAAAAATCTGACGATTTTAGTTGATTTTGTATTTGCGTGGATTTCGTGAAACATTTTAGTGATAAGTATAAATAGGATGTCTCACTCACAATCTCACCCTAACCCCTAGGATTTCTTGAGATTTCTTTATTACAGTGCTTCTTCTTTTTTTGCGAGCTCAAAACCGGCTCCCGCCATGGGAGCTTTGTCAAAGCTCAAAAATAGCAAATTTTTGAGCGATTTTCATCACAAAACAACCTAGAAACAACAACCTAACAAGATTCTAATCTAATTCATCTCAAAAATAGCAAAATTTTAAGCAGTTTTTTAGAGCTTTCGGAAGTTTAAAATATGATTTTTCAAATTTTAGGTCGCGATTTTTTTTAGCACAAAAAGATGTGATTTTTGTATTAAAAACAACATAAAACAATGGGAAAACAACATAAGAACAAAAAAAAACCCCAATCAATTTTTGTTTTACATCAGTGAAACGAGATCGATTTAAAGAAAGATTGAAACTTTCATAATATTAACCCTATGATTTATAACAATACATTCATGAACGAAATTCCTTCGCTCTAAGAAACGATTTCAAACAATTTGTGTCAATAGATCACTAAAAACTTATTTTTCAAAAGCCCCAAAACAATTTAAGATTTCAATGTATTGATTGAAAATAATTTGAGAAATTTTCTAAACTTTCATGTAATAAAACCCAGAAATTCATATTCGAAATTTTCTTAAAATACTCAATGAAAACATGCATATAATATATGGTTAAAAAACTCTCGTCACATAGAACGAAAATCCCAAAATTTCCAAGATCAATGGCAAAAAATCCCAAACGAAATTTTATCATGAACTTTAGGTTCTATAAGCAAATTATGAATTATTTTAATAAATAAATAAAAATTGTGGGTCTTATAAATCATATATACATAGCTCTGATACCAAATGAAGAAAATAATTTTCATTTGTTAATGCGTGGAGGGCTAGTATAGATATGTGGAGAGCTACTGCTTAGTAGGACATCAAGTTACATCAAATTACTAATTGAGAAAATTATATTAGGTTTTAGTTTTTTTATTAATATCATTGCATTTCTTTGTTATTTTTTGTATTGACTCTTGAAATTTTAAATGTTTGTTAAAAATTCATATGATTTTTTAAAATCTTATAAATCCATGTTATCCTTTCACTTATAAATTCTATTAAAATCCTTTAAAATTCAATCTTATAAAATCTTGATTATAAAAAAAAAATTAAAAATTCTTTAAAATCACTACAATTCTAGATAGTCTTTTAAAATTTATAAGATTCTTTATCTCAAAATAGTTTCTTTCTTCTTTTTTTATACAACTCTCAAAATAGACATTTAAAATCCTAATTCAATACACCCCACTAAGTCTCACCCGATACCTTAAGGTTTAATCATTGCATGAGATTTATCAATCGAACATAACAACTGAATTTCAACACACCCATTTTTGCATGCTAATAGGGATATTGTATGCTTTAGTCTGATTGGTTAATTGCTGGAATTTGTATGTTCTAGGGATAGTCTTACGAATTTCATGACGCATAATTCTTGACCTTAAAACTTGCTTTATGGATTAAAGTAGCACTTATCAATATCAGAGCTAAAGTGATTAGGAGATCATGAGTTCGATCCTCATCACTCCCGCTTTCAGGTGAAATTAAAAAAAGTACAAACTAAACCAAAAAATAGACCTGTACAGTACAAGGTAAAAACATATTCACTTTTTAAGCTCAAAGCACTTTTGCGTAAAACTGTGAGATTTGATCAACATATATGCTGTTATTGCTAACAAGTAGTTGTGATGTTATTAAAAGTTAAGTGCACAGTAGCAAAATGCTTACAATTTGAGGAATGCTATAGCAAAATAGAGTTAAAAATGTCATTACAAATGATGCGGCACACAATTCTCTCATTGCAAATTCACTCCTTTTTTTTTTGGTAAGCACAAATTCACTTAATTTCAAAACATATTACACCATGTTTGTTTGACATTTTTTCCACTGCAAACCCTGTAATTACGCTTCCCAATGCATTTTGTGTTAAATTAACTCTATTGTTCCTTTCGTCAAACGCCTCATAGTGTTTATCTGTACTTAATACAGACCTACCTTTAGCTGGTTTGTTATGGAACCGTACAAAGCATGACATTTCAAGCTTTTTGACCTTTTTAGTGCAATTTCAAAACTATTTACCAGAACATGCGCGACTTTAACGCATAATATCAATGCGTGTTTTTTCATATTAGATTAATAAATAATTTATCAAAAAACTTAGACCGGTAAATACTTATAAATTTGCAATAAAAGGGCAAAAAAGGCGACACCATGTCACTATTCATAAACCAATTGTAAAATTTTTGAGACAAATATCATTTTCCAAGTTAGAAATGCTGTGATAATCTGAACTAAAATACTATCAATGAATGCTTGCCAATGATTAAAAACGCATTCTTACTTGTTATATGGTTGGTGTCTGAACTGGTCCTAACGGCTAATATACTTTGTATACTGTACAGCCTAAATTTCTAATACATAACATTCACAGTCAAAGAGGTATAACTTCTGCATACTGAAAATAAGCTAAAACAAACTAACTATATGATGCTGATCTTCTACGTCTTTGATGTTTAGCACTCGCACTAGAATCTTTTAAAGCTTCTGCATATTTCTCCAAATTAGATTTCTCTATGGCTAAGGAATCAGTGGTATCTCCTTCCTTCATACTCGTCAACCTGGAGAAATCAAAGGAAGTTCTAGATGTGAAAGTGGAAGTTCTAGGTGATGTACTCAGCCCTGGAGAATTGCCATCTTGTTGATATCCAGATTTTTCATGCAATGAAACCTCACTATGGTGATAATGACTATCTTTGCCAAGTATCAGTCTCCTAAGCTTGCTAAAAATTTTGGTCTGGCTTGTGGCGTTAGTCCTTGCAGCAGATGAATTATCAACAGAAGAAAAAACATCACAATCTCCAGAGTCAGTAAGAAAAGAAGCCTGGGAGGAGGACCACTGGTCTAAATCAAAGTCCACTATGCTACCTTGTTCATCAGTATTTGCATATTCAAGTATAAGCTGCTTGGCTTTCTTCTCAGAAGTAGGGCTTAAGCTTTTACTTAAGTCCTTTGCAACTGTTTTACCCAGTGGGGGCTGATAATTCCGTAGTTCATATCGTAAACAAGCATTAATCCACCGCATATACACTAATTCTTCAAGATCTGAACATCTATCACATTGTAGTTGCTCAATTTTCTTCATCAAGGCCTCGTTATCTTGTCTAAGACGCTCATTTTCTTGCTTCATAGCATCTGCCTGCATTCCAAAAGCATAAGGTAAAATTTGTGTCTAACAAACATTAACTGAAGGAAGAGAGGAGCATGTGAAAATAATCTTACCACATCTGTGTCTCCCAGAACAGCATTTGCAAGCATCTGGGTAGAATCCAATCTTCGAGCTAAGTCAGAGTTTTCTATCTGCAATTTTAAGTTAGATTTCCTCAACTCTTCTGCTTCAGACTCTAGACCCTTTAGCTTTTGCAGCTTTATTTGAATATCTTGATCAGAAGCAACATCTTTGCATTCTTGGTCTTGCAACTTGGAAACTCTTTGTTGAAGAGTTATGATCTTCTCCCTATTCCGTTCAGCTTCATACCTTATTTTCCTCTTGAGCAGTTTTACTTTAGCTTCTGCAGCCTCAAGCTCAGCCAGCACTTTTGCATGATCAGCAACCTCTTTCTCTAATCTCAAATTCTCAGACTGTAAGGTCTTAACCTTCAGATTGAACATTTTCGCCTCCATATTACTTATCTTCAATCTATTTTGGAGCTCCATCACTGCTGTTTCTTCCTCTCTTAGACCATAGTACTCAAGCAATTGAACCTCAAGACTTTGTTCCCTGTCTTGAAGCATTCTAATCATGTTCCTGAGTTGCCTTATCTCTTGCTCATGGTCATCCTTCTCAGGATCTGCGCATGATATAGAAGATCCTACTTTTAACCTTGGTGCTTCTAAATCTTTCTTAAAAAAATTTCCGACAATGGTGGCTCCCAAGTCTACTTCCTTAACAATATCATTAAATTCAGGTAGGAGGAACTCATCTTTCTCTTCATTTTGCTTACTGCTAGGAGAGAGACCAGTAGGAAAATTGTCACTTATCGCCCTGTCGATGCATGTTTCTTCCTGCTATAAAGGAAAATTAATCACCCTACATTACTTCACTTTTTTTTAAGAAAAAACATCTTAGAAGTTTTTTCCAACTTTATATAATGTGTATATTTAACTTTGTTAATTGCTAGCTACAGCCTACAAAAAGATAATCAGAAGATAAAAGCTGCACATTTATTCGTTTCCATAAAAGCATGCTAGACACACTGATGATAACAAACAGAGAAGGTTTCAATGTTGGAATTAAATTGGCTGTCCGAAAATTTCCTTAACTCCTCACAGTAGTTTATTTTTCTCATTTTCCTACAACAATTTCTATATAGATAAAAAGCATATGCGTTCCCAGCAGAAGTTGACAAGCTTTTTTTATATGCCCCATGGGGTAATCAACAAAAGAAAAAGCATTTTTTTTCCTTTTATTTTTGCAAATGGGAAAAAAAATTTATGAAGTTATGGTTTTAATTTCTCAAGATCACATTTTAAAACTTCCAATTTATTAATAAGATTTCAGAAATATAATAAACCAGTCATTTGTATGTAGCATTATAGCTACAAAATGAAGGAAAAATCATTCTCCGCTATCAATAATTATTGAGTTTAAATTTGACCGAGTGTAAAGTTTTTACCCAATTGTGTTGGCACTTGGCAAATTAGTAAAAATTAAATCTCAATTAAAAATACATCTAAAAAAATCAGAAATCTGCTATTTTCTCATGTAACTTGCAGTATATATTTGTACCCAAAAAAAAAAAAACTTACAGCATATAGAAAATTTCCTTCTGAAACAGTGTTGCAAGTATTTAATGCTTCTCCTGTACCTCCTCCTAAATTAACTTCATTCCCATGATCTGAGAAAGACATTATACACAAAGAGAATATCACTTAGATTCATCATTTGAGGAAACAAGGGGACAAAAACAGAGATAAAACATTGATACGAGGCAGAAACAAACCTGAAGGAGATCCTGTGTGTGAATCAGTGGAGGGCTTGGTTTTACTAGTTCTGAGGCGTGAGTAGAGAAATCCAGCAAATGAAATAGCCAAAGCCAAACCAAAATTCAGTAGAATAGGCTTCATACCCATCTCCTCTCTGATCACCATTATCAACACAATTAATCTAATTTCTCTTTAATTCAAGAAGAGAGAGAAAGATCATATAGCTCTTCCTCCTCATCAGCATCATCCATCTCAAACCCACGAAAAGATCATAAGACTTATTTATGATTTATGCCTAGAAACGCAACAAACATCATAGTTAAGCGAAGTCCAGATATTAATTAGGAAAATCCAACATACACAAGACCACAAACCATTCGATTCCTAAGAGCTACGTCAAATCAAATCATGCGAGGCCTACTAGTACCTACTGGGTTAGATTGATTCTACACACAAGCGATAGTATTAAAAAAATCGAAAAAAATAAAATAGCACATGATCAATCACTAAACTAACAAAAATAAATGTATCAGAGGTAACATGAATAAGCAAAAACTCGAATCAAATTATGAAACAAGAAAAAAAAAAATTGAGTAAGGAAGATAAATACCCAAAACCCAACACAGATTAACATGAAACAGCAACAGCTGAAGTGTGAAGCACATAAAAGTCTCTGTTTTTTTAGCTTTATTCAAATGGGCCGAACAGAACTATGACGTTTTGAAGTTTGTCTTTTGGCAGAAGCTTCGGTTGCGTGTCAGGTTGTCCTTCTCATGACCAAAAAACAATTGGGTATGAACGCATTCTTAAAAAAATTATGTCTTTACCAATAAACATTGGCCATTGGTTCTTGTCTTTTGTGATGGCAAATGCGATGTGGAAAGTGGGTTATGTCTATGTCAGATAAAGAAACAGAACTTCGAACATAGAAATTGGAAATGAAGAAATAAATAAATAAAAGATATAAAGGAATAAAATGAATATTCTGATTCTAGTGAAATTTAACAACCAAGCAAACCATTATTAGAAAGAAAACCTGCGAATAAACGCATATATTTGCAAAAGCATATTCTTATCTTAGTTCTTTAATTTTAGTAATGGAGACTTTCAAATCCTTTGCTTTGCTGATTACACAATTGGGCATTTCTAGTTACTCTGATTAAATTGGTACTTGTTTAATGTGTCTGACTTTTTTTTAAAATATAATAAAATTCTGCTTGACACCCGTATAATAGTGCACGAGGTAATACAAAAATATTATTATATTATTATATCAATTTATTATACAGTGTTAATTTAAAATTATAAAAAATAAAATAATTAATAGACATGCATCAATTTTAAAATCTTTAAAAAAAATCTACAAAAATTTAGTTAAGTCAAAGATACTTTAATTTTTATCTGCATCCATGCCACGGCGGTCAGCTGCGATTATGAAATGGAAAAAGTTGAGCATAAAAAACCTCGCAACATGGAAATTTCACAGATAATTAGAGTCGATAAAACGGATTCGATCCGCTCCATCCGCTAAATGAGATGGCGTAGACACTTGTAAAAATAGGAAGAGTCGGGTCCGACACGCTTTGACACGGCGACACGCTCCGACACGGTGTCAGACACGCGGTTGACTTTTTCCGACACGTTGACCATTCTGACACGCGAATTTGACCGTGTCCGACACAGTCAAATGGCATTTTCGTAATTTTTTTTAATTTTTTTTTAAATTTTTTTTTTTTAAAAGTTAAAATATATTAATAAAGTTTCCACCTGATCATATCAATTTTATCTTTTTTTTCTTTTTTTCCCTTACGTAGATAAGAGATCATCTCAGCATCATTGTTGTCAATTTCTATCACGCTCTTGTTGTATCTTCTTCTCTCTGATCTCTCTCTAATATGATTTGATCTCTCTATCTGATATTATATCTCTCTCTCATCCCAGTTCTTATTTTTTTATTAAAGCTTCCATCTTTATAACGTGTTGATGAGTATTATTAATTTAGTTTCATTTTTTTGTTAAATTATTAAATATTAAATGAAATATACACTATATAAATTAAAAATATTATTTAATATTAAAACGTGTCCCAACGTGTCGAAATCTATATTTTTTTAGGATTGACGTGTCGGAGTGTCGTGTCGTGTCACGTGTCGTATCGGTGCTATAGGTGTGAGTTAAGTTTTTTATAGCTCATTTTTTAAAATGGAACAGGATGACGAGGACAAAATAGAATGAGTTAATATAAAATAAGCTGGGGTTGATATATCGAGTTTTTTAACCTATTTTTAAAAAAATAAGTCAAGACGGACTGACTCATTTTTTGACAGGTTGATGTCGTCTTACACACCTTACCACCTTTATAGCCAACAATCAAAACAACAGCTCAAATTTCTCGATCATCCATTCATTTTTGTTAAATAAGGGTTGAACTTTGTATAAATAATTTTGCTATAATTTTTTCCATGAAATAATGTTATTAAAAAACGTTTGTAACATATTTCTTAGTACACTTTTATTATTAGGTTAATTTTGTTTCAATCTTATTAAAAAAAAGTTAATTTGAATTACTTAAGGTGGACAAACAAATTTTTATCAAAGAACTACAATTACTGGAATATGGTGAGAAATGAGTTTTCTAGAAAAGTTATAAAAAAAATTATTCAGTAGGCTAAAATATTATCAGAGTAATTAGTTTAAGTTTCCTGAATCTATGTTTGGTTGAAGATAAAATATTGTTGAAAAAATAAGATAAAATTACGAAAGCAACGATTGACTAAATAATATTACACAATACACAAATAAGATTAGAAAAATGTCATTTTCATCATTTACTTTGCGCTCCTTTTTCTATTTTGTTGGTAATCTCAAAATATCACCTTCAAAGTGATATTCTTAAATAGTGTTTTTCATCACAATTTTCAAAGAAATAAGAAATGATGGGCAAATCAATTTACTATCTGAATTTTTTAAAAACTTGTATCAAATATGGACAACTTTGAAATATCCTTCTCACTTGCCTGGATATTGCTAAGTGCCTGTTTGAATTCTCTTTTTTTTAAGCTAGAAGTTCCTTATAAGCTAAAGTTAAGAAAAAGAACTTAAAAAAGAATATGACACATATATTAAATTTTTATTTTTTTCTTCTCTCTCCTTATTTATTTATTTCTTTCTCTCTACTTCGTCCCATCAAATTAAAAGTGTTCCGAGAGCACTAAATTCCTTCTCGAGTAGTGCAAGCATTGGAAATATTAATAATTAAAATGTAAATGAGGAAATTATATTAAAAAAAAATCAAAAACATGTTTTTCTAGTTGTGATGCATCCCTTGCTGAACTCGTTTTTCATCAACTACTATCGGTAATTAGATGACGTTGGAAGTACCTTGTTCAACTACACTCTCATCGCCGTTAATTTTGTTGCAAATTTAACAAATGATCAGAAAGGCCGTTAGATGAAAATGTTAAGATGACTAAAGTTTGGTGCCGTAATAACAAAAGATAAAAAATTATACCCTTAGTTAATTAAAAATAAAAGACAACACATAAATAGTATAATTATACATCCTGCCAGCTCTATTTTTTCGAATAATAAAAAATGTAAGTAGAATATAGATGCTGTTAAATTGAATTTAAAACTTTAGTTATAATATTCATTGGAAATATGAAAGAAAAAAAATGCAGAGAGAAAATAAAGAAAGATTGAATTATACGCTATTTGGAAACTATGAAAATATACTAGCATTCGTGGTCAATGTGGTAGTTGTTGCTTGTTGGAGGACAACACCATACTGGTCCTGGTTCGAATGCTGGTAGAATCCAAAAAAAAAAAAAAAAAAAAAAAACTATGAAAACATTACTAAATTCTGAATTTACTAATCATATACATTTTTTCATAAATGTCCTGTTCTTGTATAAGAGCCTAAATATGAATAAAAGAGTAATTACATTTTAATATATCATTAATGTGATAGTTACATTATATGTCAAAGGTCATAAAAACCAAAGATTATTATCTAAACATCATGAGACATGTGAATAGGTAAAGGTCATTCCCGTGTAAAATAGATATTTTACATATATATTATAATTATTATAAAAGAGGCAGGTTATTTTTATATTGTTCTAAAAAAAAAAGTTTTATATTTGACCATTTATCTACTTATATCTAATGAATCGCATAACTAAAACATTAGAATTGTTACATATTATAAATACCAGGTTGTTTTTGTTTTCAAAAATTGTTTGAATATGACTTTGAAAACTGATTTTGAGAGTAAAAGAATAATAAATTTTTTTTGACTAATAATTAGATTTAAAGTTATAAAGAAGTTGTAATTGTTTATAAAAATATCATTGATGAAGTTCATAATTACAAGTTTGCCATCAAAAAATAACTTTTAAGGTAGTGTTTGGTTGAAGGTTTATTTTGGAATTGATGGGAAAGTGTAAGTGGATATTGGAAAATACCACGTTTGGTTCAGGTTTTTTCAAGAAATACCAGGCAAATAGGATAGATGGGAAAATGACTTTTGTGTTGATTTTTGGATGAAATTCACTGTTATAGAATACCACTTGAGATGTGGTATTTTGAGATAACTGGGGAAGTGAAAAAACAGGTGCAAAGTTTCTCCCGAACATAGATTTTGCATATTTAAATAAATTTCCCTGTTAATATTTGGGTCAACCAAACAACTTTTTTTACATTTTCCTATCAAACTCACTTTCCAACCATTTCCCTAGTAAAAAAAAATTTCTCCCGAACCAAACACTACATTAAGAACATCTTTATGTTGGTCTGCTTTTTTAGTTTTTTTTTTATAGCCAACAAAGCCAGAAGCTACTGGATCACTAGAGCTCGCGATCTTTCCACTCCAGTAAGATCAGTCAGATAAATAACATAAATGTCAGGTAGTGATTCTTCACAAAAAAGATATTGCACATCCTCATCATGCTCAAAGATAAAATTTGTCATCTAATCCGCACAAGTTTTTTTTAGTTTTAAAATCTAAGAAACAGTCATTGTTTTGGGATTTTTTTTTCTTTTTTGTTATTGTTAGAATAGACATCAAACATACTTACATACCCATAATTTCAATTTAGGATAAGATATTTTACTATAATTTTTTTCATATTTATCTTATTTATTCATTTCAATTAACTGTCACTTTTTTTTTTTACTAATTAAAGTAGACACAAAAAAAGTTGACCGGCACAAATGCATAAATTATAATGTCCTATATGTGAACCAACTTTTGGGGTCGAGGTTCCCTCTAGTATTCAAGTGAACATTTTTCGAATAGAACCCTTTCCCTCTCTCTCTCCCTATTGGAATCGAATAACATAAACCCTAGAGAGTAGAAACACAGAGCAGAGGGCTTAAGCAAAATTGACATGCTCTATCAAATATCACCATGAGACTCCTCAGAACGATCTTGCTCAACCCCAATTGTCACCTGCTCAACCCCAATCGCATATTTTCATCTCTCCTTTCTCACTCCTTCTCCGCGGAAACCAATGAATCCGACAATCAGAGAAACCAACCGAGTAGTTGGAGCAATTACGGCGATGTCTTTGACACGTCACTCGACCCCCAAAGACACAGCGATCATAGCGACGATGAAAAAGCAAGTGAGAAGATGAAGAAGGTACAGGCACAGGCACAGGGACTGGGTGGAACGGGAAATATTATTGGAACGAAGAGAAAGGGGAAGGTGAAAAGTCAATGGGTTTGCTGCAATTGTGGGCATACTTCAGGGCAGTGGTGGGGCACGTGCCCCTCATGTGATATCGTTGGCACAATGAAAGAGTTTCACGAAGCCAAATTAACCGATGCTGATAATAAGCCCAGAACTGGATTAGCAGTTTCCGAGGATGCAATGGGCTTGTGGCTCCCACAGCGAGCAGGTGAGTTGCGTCCCATGAAATTGGAAGAGGTCAACAGTGGATTTGATCACCTGCGCTGGAGAATTCCTTTGTAAGTTCCTAAAAAAAAATTGTTTTGGATATTTATATTGTCTATTGGGATTCAGTGATTTTTAGATTTTGTAGTAATTGCTGTTGAGACTTTTATCTGAAGTGACAGAGGGGGTTGGTTTAAATTTTGAGTGAGTAGTTTGTTAAAAAAAAAAAAAAAAACTAATCTTGAGGATTTGCAAGTATTTGACTATTTATTAATCCACTGTTTCAATTGTTGGCTTTATGAACGAGTTAACTAGAACTTCTTTAATTAAACCATGCCTTGGTGTGTGTGAGAGCATCTGCTCTAGTCTTCAACAGAAGATGTTGTGCTTTTCTCAAGTATTATAATGTGTGGTTTCACTTTGATTTCAGGTCTGGTCCTTTTGGAAATGAAGTTTCTATGGTGCTTGGTGGTGGTCTTGTACCAGGTTCAATCCAGTTTACTTATCTACATTGATATGCCAGTAACTGTTGAGGCTTTTGCATTTCTATTTTCTTCTTCACGTTTGTCTGAGTGTGATGGATTTGCTAGGTCACAGTATCAGATGCATTATTTAACATTGTGGTTTCAAGTAATAAATTGTAATTACTAATTATGCATTATTTGGTAAGAACTGTATTTTAACATACCATTCTTTGTATTTTTATCAAGTTTAGTTCATCCTCTATGAAAAGATGGTGGGTCTGGAGCAGTGGTAAAGCTGTTGTGTTGTGAATGAAAGGTCACGGGTTCGAATTTAGGAAATAATCTTTTTACAAATATGTAAAGATAAAGCTGCATATAGGGATTGCCCTTACCCCTACCTTCGTTAGTTAGGGTTTAATCGGGAGTGGTTTTTTTTTTTTTTAAAAATTCATCTGCCATGACTGTGAATCAATTACATGCTCAAATGTTCATGAACGCTCATACTTTGTGCAATTTTTTTGCCCTAATCATGTTTGTTTGTTTTGTGGGTAGGACTAGTTCAAGTGTTGCAGCTTTTGTTGATTGATCTTGGTGAATGGATAATTTCTTGAACATTGTTTCTATTCTTTTGTTCTGTATGAGCTTAATATTTGAATTTCCAAATTGCTTACAGCCAATTTTCTGAAAAGTTCTAATATCTTTCTTAATTCAAGTGTTCTTGATGCTTCAGCACAGAGTTAATTAGATTATCCACGGCTAACTTATTTTGTAATTGTGGTTTTGAAGGCTCTTTGACTTTAGTTGGTGGTGATCCTGGTGTTGGGAAGAGTACTCTGTTGTTGCAGGTATGGATTATTTTTGGTTGGTAGAACTGGATCGAAAAATCTGATGGTCAACTTATTTTAATGTACTGGTCAACTGCCATCAATGCTGGTTTAATTGTGATGATTAATTGGAAGATTGCGGCAACGATAGGAGAAGGATGCACTGACGGTGAAGCATCTCCAGTTGTATATGTCTCTGGTGAAGAGGTTTGCTTTTAATGGGCCTGTTAATAGTTTTAAATTATGCTTGTTATCTACAAGCTCATTATCACATGCATGTTTTATATTGTAAATGGAGATTTTTAACTTTGTTTCACACACCCTCACACACAGCTCCAGAGCTTGGATAACCTGTGTCATCACAAATATATTAAACCCGCAGAACACATACTGCTTATATTTCTTTTGTGCCATCAGAACATTTGCATGTTACTTTGGTAAGTCCTGTATAATATAGAGTAAGTTAAAAATTTGACTACTAATTAATATTTACTTTACAGATTGTTCAGATGGAGAGTTCTTAACACAACCAATGCAAAATAAGGGCCTAGGGAAGAAAAAGAGGACAGATTCAATAAATTAAAATATACTCATGTTCTTATTCATGTATATAATACTTATTGTTTAAAAGATATAAAAAAGCTGCTAAATAATGGTTTTAAAAATGAAAAATATTGGACATGGCTCAGATTAATTTTGACCTTTACCTCTTCTCATATCTTGTATTTTTGTGTTGTAGACAGTGGTAATCTTTGATTTCACTGCTGTTGAAGGTGGATACTGTAGTTTAGTGTTTGATTTACAAATGTTCTTTAGGGTCTCTGACACTTCTTGATTTAGCTTGCATTTATTCCCATTTATGTAACAGAGCCTTCAGCAAATTGGTCACAGAGCAGAACGCCTTGGGATTAAATCAAATATAAATTTATATTCAAGTACTGACATTGAGGTATATTGTCTTTGATTTTGCTGGTAGCATTTTTCTTATTTCATTACTTTTTTTATGCATTTGATCATAAAGTTGTTGTCTCGGCACTATCAAGGAGTCTGTTTCACTTTAAAACTTATTTTTAATAGGCTAGAGTGGAGCTGTCGCAATAATTGTCTTCTTTTTTCATTTTACTTCTTCCATGGTGTCAGGACATATTGAAGAAAGCACATTGTCTTTACCCTCGTGCTCTGGTTATTGATTCAATACAAACTGTTTATTTGAAAGGAATAATGGGAAGTGCTGGAGGGATTATGCAGGTGGGGAATCTACCCAATTTATCTTGAATGTTTTAACTGTGACGTGGTACATACATCCTTTGGGATTGTTTTAAAATGATATGTCACATGACATATTGAAGAAAGCAGTGTATTTCCCCTCGTGCTCTGGTTATTGATTCAATACAAACTGTTTATTTGAAAGGAATAATAGGAAGTGCTGGAGGGCCTATGCAGGTGGGGAGTCTACCCAATTTATAATACATCCTTTGGGATTGTTTTAAAATGATACGTCACATGACATAGTTGATTTTTTTTTTTTTTTTTCAATGAACTTCTAGCTTTTTATCCATAGTAACTTCATCTTCCTAGTATTGATCATTGTGAAATAAAAGTTTTTTTTTTTTATTATTAAAGGAAAAATTCATGGTGTAGCAATTTTCTGTTACTTAAATTATTTAATTGGTTAATTCAATTGCTGAGATGAACGGTCTACTTTCTCTTATTAAATCTTATTGTTTTTAATCTGCTCCTGCCGACAGCTGTCAAAGTGTATTAACTATACCTTTTTGACCGTGAAGTCAAATGTTTGTTCTTTGGTACGTGACTTTTTTCTAGGTGTGTGACAGGTGAAGGAGTGTACTTCAGCTTTGATGCGATTTGCAAAAACAACTAATATTCCAGTTCTTTTGGTGAGCATACGTCTATAAATAATGGATATTTCCATTTTTTCCTACTCATGGTTTTATCCCTTATTTTCAGTCAACAATTATTTACATTTGCCATTATGGTAAAAGTGGAAATGCTTTTGTAGTCTCTTTGTGAGCCTAATAGAGCAGGATCATATGATTGGTGTTGCTTGTGTTATTTCTTGTGTAATTTATTTGTGGGCATATCTTTAATTTTGGCCTTTGAAGTTGACATTCATGATAATTGTTTTGAATTTTTTTTGCTTCCTTTTTTTGTTTTGTATTTCAGATTGGACATGTGACAAAATCTGGAGAGATAGCTGGACCTCGTGTCTTGGAGCATATTGTTGATGCTGTTTTGTATATGGAAGTTGGTACCTTGTTACATAGTTCTTTCTTTAGATAGTTGGTAAAGCTGATTTATGCTTATCATTATAGTTGTTTCAACTACTTGGCATGAAGTCTTTTTTTTATGGGCTTCTTTTATCCTTTTTGGATACATAATATTATTCGTTCATCGTGAAACCTTCATCTAGCACATTACTGAACATAGTGTCCTGCCTTTACAGCACTATTCAGGGCATGGCAAGATAATAAATTTTGATAAGGGGCATTTATTTCCAGTTTTGCATTCTGCTAAATGACAGTAAATGGGAAGGGAATAAGAGAGATCTCATGATGACATGTTATCAATATGATGTTCATTTCAAATTCTAACTTATCAATATATCATTTTATACCAATATTTTTCATTAGATTTTTTTTAATTTTGCCTTTTCAGTTTTGGTGCCCACTTCCTCAAGTACGGATGAAATAGTATTGATTACAAAATGTCACAACAATAATAAGTAAAAAGAGGATGATTTGAATTTTGAAGTGTGACTAGAATAACATGCACAACAAAATATGCCCTATTGTCATTGATAAAATATCAAAGAAATAGTTGTTGATGATAATTATTTTATTCCTTTCTGAAATTTTTTATGGTTACCGCCCCTGGTTCTTCCTATTCCCTTTTGAAGTTTTTTTTTTTTTTTTAACAAGTGCTAGTTATTTTAACAATGTTACATTTTGTTATCAAAAAAAAAAAAAACAATGTTACATTTAATCTAAAATCTAGCTGTTTTGTTTGTAACACCTTGCATTTTGTGTGCATGTACTTATAGTTGGATTGTTAACCTGATCAACTTTCATTGCAATTTTCTTCATGCTAATTTTCTCATATTAATGCTCAGGGCGAGAGGTACTCTACATATCGTATGCTTCGCGCTGTGAAAAATCGGTTTGGATCCACTGATGAGGTATGCTTCTTCTATTACGTTAAGGATCTACTATGTCTTCCTTGATAGTATCTACTTTTTTTCTACTTACGCTTTTGAAAACCTGTCTGTATCCAATACTCTTACTCTTCTTTTGGTCTATGTTTGTTAGTATCTTTCTGCTATGCTAAGTACTGGGTCCAGTGAGACTCGCTAGGTTCTACCTTGTCGTATGGTCTTCCCCATAGGTTTCGCTCGCTCATCTTATCCCTATTTTTTCATAAAGGGAAAAGTATTTCTGTAGAAGTTATCTCCAGTGAGCTTAAAACGACGTCATTTTGAGTTATAAGATAAAAAAAATTATAATGAGAAAGATTAATATAATCCTGTAATATATTATAATTACAAAAACATGTTAGATTTCTGTCCCAAAACAATGTCGTTTTGAGGTCGTTTTGGACTCACCGAATATAACTTATCTACATTGAACGGAGAAATCCTTTATCCTTCATTAAATTATTAAAATTATAAACAATTCTCATTTGTTGCAATTGTTTGGAATTTTTTAAAATTCAAAAATGTCTAATTTATTATTAATGACAATTTGACGCTTGATATATTTTTTTTCATTTGTCCGAAAAAATACAATCCCTTAGCATTTTTTCTGGCAAACTAGGAAAAAAATTAAATATCAAATTGTTATTAGTAATAATGAAATTAATGTTTTTGAAATTTTTGGCAAATTATTATATGAGCTTTCTTTTTTGGTCAAATTAGGAAAAGAAAAGAAAAAACAATTGTAAAAAAGTCATTTATAATAATAAGTTTAATAATAAATTTATAGGGATTTTGAATATCATCATCCAAATTATAATTATTTATATTGTTAATTATTATTTATTTTAATTAATTTAATATTACTTTTACATTTTATGACAAATTAATAATATCAATTTAATGCAATTTATGTGGATTGAGAAAATAAGAGCGACTAAAGAAATGTAATTTAGGATACCTTGGGGGAAAAAAAGGAAAAGAAATGTAATTAGGATGAACGGTCAGGATTCTACTAGTAAAACCGGGTGAACCCCGACGGTGGGTAATGTTTTTTGGTATCTTCCTGCTATGCTTAATTGTTTTGGGGATGTCTAACTATACATCTCCATTTGTATATCTCGCACTAACTTTAACTTATTGTAGTACACAAGCATGTTGATGTGCGTCCTATGCTTTGCCGTAAGGATTGAAACTTTAACCATATATTATTGTAAAGGATTTTACATGTCAAGTTTGTGAAATGTTTTTTTAAATTATTTATCCAAATGTCATGACATGGAAATATTTTCTTAATATTCCATCCATATTTTTCAGTCTCGTTGATCTCACCAGTGGGATTAGTTTGCCATGCCGCATAACCTAGTGAGTCTGAATGGGTGTGACAATCCTGCTGGTGGGTCCAACGAGACTCGTTAAGTTCCATCATGTGGCATAATTTTGATCATTCGTCCAAAATAACACTCATCTCACCCATATTTTCTCCATCCAAATAAATTGCATTGAATTAACGTTATTATGTTGTCGTTGAATTGAAAATTGATATTGAATTAATTAAGTTAAATAATAATTAATAATATAAGTTATTTTCATTTATGTGGTGATATTTTTAAATCATTATAAATCAAAAATGTAAAATTTATTATCAATGATAATATGATTATTATTAGGCTTTTTGACCCTTTTGCCCCTAATTAAATAATTAATAACTAAGTTGCCCCTCTCCCAGAACTATCCACTATCCTGCCCCCATTTAGTCGATTAAGTTGCACTTTTAATCGACTAAATGGGCTAAACTCAGAAATCATGAAACACGAATTTTAGTCGACTAAAAACTCATCTTAATCGACTACATTGTTTGCACTTTTAGTCGACTAAGCACATTATTTAGTCGACTAAATGTCGCGAAAAACCCTATATCCAGACCTCTCTTGGTCTCATTTTCATTATATTCGAAATCAAAACTCCTCTCTTGGTCTCTTTCTCTTGTTTGTCAGCTTTGAACCTTCCAATCACCCTTCCATTTCATCCCACCACCTCTAAGGCATAGTAATTGTGAAATCATTGTCATTTTCCTTTATTTCTCAATTGTTTCCCCCAAATCCGAACCCAAAACCCTAAAATCTGATTCTTACCCCCAAAATTCGTGTGAAAGATGAGCTCAAGTCTAAACATGTATTTTACCATGATTTACTATGATGGAAAGCATTATGAAGGCCCCAACGGTGTTCAATTTGAAGGAAAAACGAAAATGTTGAAAATCAAACGGGGCACTACGTACAATGAGCTGAAGGGGATGATTCACCAAAAATTGGGGCCATGGCGTTCAACGGATGATCGCCAGGGTAGAGTCTACAGTTGGTAAGGATGCTATATTCTACATTGGTAATGATATATGTGACGATGAAGATGTGGACTGTGTCATAGATGCAATTGTGGACCGAAAATTTCAAAACTTTATTGAGATATATGTTGAAATAGACTGTGGTCAATCTTCATCTGCACCTGTGCATGGAAGAAGTCAAAGTCAAGAAGACAGAGTGGTCAGTTTATCTGCACCTGCACCTGTCTTAAGTCAGATACCACTGAGGGAAATAGACGAGGATGAGGATGAGCATGACGAAGATATGGACAACGAAGACGATGGTGAACCCGAGAGTGTTATTCCGCTGGGTGACACCTCAGATACGGACGTAGAGGGGAATTTTGACGCTGATACTAGTTCAGGAAACTTGAGTTCCCAGGTTATGCCACCGCTCCGTGTTGACCCTGTTAGCAATGGTAAGATTGTAAATTAAAGTTTTAATTTTGCATATATATATATATTTGTGTTTTCTTTCGTACTGACGGATAAGTTTAAATTTGGACGTAGGTTCTGAGATTGAGCCATTTTGGAACGACAGCCCACACTATTCGTTCATTAATTGGGCTCACCCTAATGATGAGACGGAGATATTGTATGGCGACGATGACATCCACGGTGGCTGGCATTTAGGGGATCCATTATATTTGTACCAGGAGTTTCGAACTAAATCTGAAATGCAACATGCAGTCAAATTATATTGTATGAAGTCTCATCGTACTGCTGTGGTGGCAAAAAGTGATGACCATAGATTTGTGATGAAGTGTCGACACCATAATGATGGTTGTCCCTGGTACGTGCGGGCTATGTTGCCCAAGAATGGAAATAGTTGGGTTGTTAGTAAGTGGGGTAAAAAACACACTTGCCTAAACCAAGGCCTTACTCGGGACCATAGACAGCTGGATTCTGATGGAATCTGTGCAGCCATTATAAGTATGTATTACAGAATTTTTGTTTATGGTTTAATTTTTCGGTATATTTATTGATTGTGTTGACTTCGAATTTTGTATAGGTATGTTAAAAGAAGATCCATCCACGAAACCAGTTCTTATTCAGGAGAGGGTACAAAGTTTGTATGGATACAACATATCTTATAGGAAGGCTTGGAAGGCTAAAATGAAGGCCATTGTGAAGTTGTTTGGGGACTGGAAAAAATCATATGCCATCTTACCTGGTTGGCTGACCTACATGACACAGATAAATCCTGGTTCTGTGTTCAAGATTGATACGGATCAGTGTTGTGACGAACTACGAGTCTACACCGATAAGGCTGTCTTTTGCAGGGTATTTTGGACTTTTCACCAGTGCATTGAGACTTTCAAATATTGTAAACTCATAATCCAAATTGATGGCACGCACCTGTACAGGAAATACAAAGGTACCCTCTTGATTGCTACGTCACAGGATGGTGATGGATTCATTCTGCCTATTGCGTTTGCCATTGTTCCACCGGGTGAGAGATTGGATGATTGGTTGTGGTTTCTTAGCCAGATGCGTTTCCATGTCACACGTAGGCATGATATATGTCTAATATCCGATCGTCACCCCAGCATCATCAGGGCTGTGAAGGATCATGCCGGTTGGCAGCCTCCATTTGCGTATCACGTGTTTTGTCTTCGTCACATTGGAAGCAACTTCAACACTAAGTTTAGGGACGTGGAACTGAAGAAAACGCTGATGAAACTAGGTAACCTATTTACATGAATGTGTACATGTTGTATGTAATGTTGTTTATGTATAACTCATTGCAATTTGGGTTCATTTTTTGCAGGTTACATGTGTTCGAAGATTCACTTTGATTTAAGATTTCAAGAATTTGTCGACAGTAACCCACAAGTAGCCTCATGACTTGCAGTTGTTTGAAGTTGAGGATGCCTACAATCAATCTACACAAATTGAGAAGGTCTATGCTGCACATTGGTTTCCAATGGGTAATGAGTTGTTGAACCCAGAAATAGATGGTCCAACTATTATCCCAAATGCATCTTTGGTTCGTACACAAGGTAGACCGAAGTCTTCAAGGATACAGAATGAAATGGATTGGGTTGAGTCCCAACCCACAAGCAGTCAAACTAGATGTAGCACCTGCAAGCAAATTGGTCACAATAAACGTACATGTCCTATGAGGATTAATCCTAGCTGAACCAATGTTGTGCATGTATTTAAGGTCTTTTGTAAGAGTTCATGTAATTCTGTTATGAATTTTGATGTTACTTTGTGTTACTGTATAACTCATTATGTAATTTGACATTTCATTTCTAAGTCCATTATCTAACATTGGTCCATATTGATAGATTGAAAACTCATAACTAATACTAATATTACCAAAAAATGAAATCACCAAGTTTCGTAGCATATGTAATGAGTCCAGAAAGAGGTTACACATAAACATAA